ATCTAGAATAAGGAGGCCCCATAATTCTATAAGCCCGCCAGATGACCAAATTTATCATTAACTTCACCTAAATTGAAGGACCTATCGTACCACAAAAATGCGTCGTCTTTTACCGTGGAGTAATGCGCTGCTACACGCAAAGACCCCGCAGTCTCCTATGCCACAAGTGCTACGAAATAGGGAATCGAGCAAAAATATGCCCTAGACGACTCAACAATATCATCTCGCGCACATGCAGCGCCGAACTCCCGCCAGAGAGCGGACTCGAGATCCCCCATGATTGTGAAGCGCTCTGCCGCAACTGCGGACACGAACACCGCACCACAGATCTGAAATGCTTGATGAGAGCCAAAGCAGACGCAGCGCTCCGAGTTAGGATGGACAAGCGCCGCAGACGGCAAAACGGTAAAACCCCCAACACTAAACCACCCCTGCGGACAATTGAAAACTGGCCCCTGCTCCACACCACGACAACGTCCAGCGTGTTCAAAGGTCTAAGACAGTCATGCCTAGCCCGGGTAGGCCCCCCAAGGCATCATAGCGCACCGCGATGCCCCAGGAGAACCACCGAACAGCACATCAGGAGCAGAAGAAACAGCGACTTATGCCGTCAACGAGCACACCAACAGGAGGAATGAGGAAGGCGAGCAGCCTCAGCGTACGAGCCCCAGAAAGGTGAGCGAACATATATGACACCCACCGGGCGCCACACCAACCCTTGCTCCGTCGGAGCCGGTTCTGATAGGGCCGTTATCAGCTCGCCCAATTTCGGCTTAAAGTCGTGAGCAATGATGAAATTTCTCGTTCCGTAGCGGCCACTACACATTTTATTTAAAATATCCACCACACGGCTACACCATAGTAAGGCTGAGCGCCAATTCTTAAAATACACTAAGCCCCCAGATATAAGAATAAAGAAAGTTAATTCAATTATTTTAGTTCATTAACTAACTAATTAACCCATTTAGCCTTTTTGCTAGTGGCCTCCATGACCTCCAACTTGGCCTGGGGCCAGGATGCGCGTATACACGCAAATTCATATCACAGTGTCGAAGCGGAGCCCAACCGGACCGAAAACCGGAACCGAACCGTTATTTTTAGCCAAACCGGACCTGTACCAAACCGAAACCTTCGCCGCCATCTTGGAACTGAACCAAACATGAACAAAAAGAACCTATAACTGTAGCCGGTTCAAACCGGTTCACGGTATTCTTTTATTTAAGTACTACAAAATAAATATTTGTGAATAAAAAATTGGCAATGCTATTTCCATATAGTGATCAAATTGTCATATACCGAATATCAATGTATGGTAAATTGTGGGTTTTCGTGACGTTTTTGTATTGGCAGTATAATTAATGACGTGTCACGTGGCCATGTGATGCCATGGTTCTAAGACATGCTGTCAAGTTATGTAAAGTCACGTGGCCCAGTGGTGTAGTCGCGTGATACACTGCGTCAAGTCTACTTAAATTGAGAACGTCACAAGATGTATCAACGTTGTTGACACCGTGACGTCAGATGTCATCCCAACTCCTCACCGCGAGTTACGTGACATCATGGACGTAGTTGATTGTCATGAGCCCAAGTCGAGTGATCGGGTTCATGACAATCAGCATCACTAAACGTTCACGATATGGCTCGTGTTCAATAAAAGATAAAAACAACCGAACTCTAAGAACGCCTAAAGTTCAACCCATGCTTTACTCTTTGCCAACTCCAGGGCATGAGTATATGAACACTGACTGCATATAATTAGCGTCAGTCACGTGGCCGTTTGGTCTAAAAGCGAGTAGAAGTGGTAAAAGCCGTTTCTTTCCTTTATTTGTTCTGCGTCTGCCACTGAGCGGAGAGAAAAAATAATTTCTGTTTTTGCAAGTTATCAACGTCAGGGATTAGCTCTTAGTGGTATTTACTGAAATTACAAAAATTGTTGCACGGACCACTTTACAAGTACGCATCATTGAGACACCCAAATATCTTTTCGTTGTTAATTAACTGTTTTAGAAAGTTGTCCCCGAAAATAGAAGACTTGAAAGGACTAAATATGACTTGTTAATCCGAATATAAATAGAAATACAAGTGTACGGGAGGGATACTTGAAAAGAAAGATCCTCGCGGCCCCAGAGAGATTGCCAAACGTTGGCAGCCGCTCTAAGTCTCACAGGGGTGTCGTTTTCAAGTTCTTGCCTAAGCTTTAACAATCTTTTTACTTTGTTTAAACATCACAGCCTTTGGGTGCAAAATAAAAATGGAGGATTACTGATCAAAAAAATAATAAAAAGACAATCGTCGAATTAAAACCCCCAAATGGTGGAGGGAGTCCCTCAGGAATAAAAAGTATTTTCTAAAGATGCATCGAAAAAAGAAAAAGAGGAAAAGCTTAAAACAAATACGGTGTTCTAAACACATATTTGAAAAAAAAAAAACGGAGACGACGGTTAAAGAAGGGGACAAACCTAAAACCTCTCCAACGCAGCTACTAAAATTTATTGACAGAGCCGTTTATATACCATCTCTCACACACACGTTTCCCGGAATATGCACACATTTTTGTGACTCTCTACCACAGTACAACGCGCAGTGACCTTAATTCAAAGACAATGTCATGTCCCACGCAACACAACACATACGTCTCCCGGAATTTGCACACGTATTTGTGCCTTCAACCGCAAAAGAGACCACTCTCGTACAAAGCAATAGCACAAGCAACACTTCAAAACAAAGCGCCCACCCCAAAGCAAACCCTCATACACCTGTTCACAGGTCCCACACTGCCATGATAAGGCAAACCACAAACCCATCACCAAAAGCATAAAAAAGCTATTTCAACAAAAAATCGTTTGGGTCGCTTTATCCTATGGTATTTTTGGCCGTGGGCTGATACAATTTTCTAGGGACGCGATTCTGACTGTCTCCTTCAAGACTCTTCTTGCATAATCTTTGTCGTTCCTTAACACCGCAGTTTTCCCCCAACCAGGTAAACAATTATTGAATTCCTGCACATGTTTAGCGGTCTGAGAATTCGGAGGTACGTTCTTGACCGCACTCATGTGCTCAAGAAGTCTGACATTTAAGCACGTTTTCGTCTGTCCCACGTACGAAACCCCACAGGCCATTGGGATATCCAGTGTTGTACACGTTCCTCAAAACGAGGAACGGAAGCTCGTTCCTCGTTCCTTTTGATTTTTGGAACGCGTTCCCGCCACAAGTTCCATCTGTGAGAAAGGAACTCGTTTAAAAAAGTTTAAAAAAGGGAACGCATCGTTACATATACGTTACATTTGTATTTTGCTAATTACCATATATAGTTAGATTAAACAAAGTGTTTTTTTTTACCTATCCCATTGTGGCAACATGCGAATTTGAATGCCGTGATGGAAGGACACCAAGAGAAGAAATCAAGTGGAAGCAAAGTTTCATTTGTTGATGATTCACTTTTAAAAATCTCAGCGTTTTGCCATATTCATGGTTGTTGTTGGCGATTCAGACGAGCCAAATGTACTGTTACTCCACATTGCACCCGCGTTTTACAACAACCTCACTCTTTTCGATCTACTAAAGACCCTTGCTTGAACTTAACAACAGTTGCTTCTCGCTGTTGCTGTCCGCAAGACGAGCAAGTGGAGAAGAGGGTAGGGTTTTTGGAAGATCAGTCTTAAAAACTATCACCCGTATTCACCAGGCGCGACTAACTAGCGCCGTTTTAAGGTTAGTAGCACGACTAAGTAGTCGCGAGCTAAACAAGAAATCCGCGACTAACAAGCGATTATGTTCTGCGGTATTCACGAGCGCCGATTTGCTCTGTGCGAGCGGGCGACTATCTAGTCAGGAGTTACACGGCGGAAGTGACGTCAGCGGCCTTATCACGCATGCGCTCAGGCCCTACCGGAAAAAAAAAACCGGATGTCAACAACGCGACGCGCACAGTTGACATCCGGTTGTCGAGTTTAGCCGACAGAATCCAGTTCAATCCAATCTGACATCAGCCGTCGCGCCAATTTGGTCAGGTGTTTTGGTCGTGCTTTGTTTCGTGCGTGATGGGTTCGTCCACCGTTCGTTCGTCCTCGGCTCAGAAGCAAAAAAGACCGCGAGGTGAAAACTGGGACCAGACGGAGAACTTAAGGCTCTTGGATCTGATTCTACCTTACGTTGCTGTCATCGAGGACAAGTCGAACGACCACGAAGTCAACGTACAAAAAAAAAAAAAAAAAGGCCTGGCAAGTAATTGATTCAAACTTCAGAGCGGAGTCGACCACGAAAGTTCGCTACCTCGATCGTATCAAGGAGCAATGGAGACGCATGAAGCTGACAGCAAAAAATAATTGGCGGGATTACTCCAAAGAACTCTCGAGGACGGGAGGTGGTGCACCACCGAAAGAGCCATCCGCCGTGGACACCGCGATAAAAGACGCTCTCCCTCACGAATTTGTTAGAGACACGAGTGCTTACGACGACGACGTGGAAATGGACGGAGAAACGTGAGTTCATCGAGTTATTCTACTTCGTCCTTATAATAAATGGGAAACCCTACTTTTTCACTTTTTTTTAGAACGACCGCACAAGAGCAACGTTTCGACTGCGTCCAAGAAGATTGTGTATTGGTGGAAGAGGCCACACTGGAGCACGTACCTACACCAGTGGAGTTGCTGCTAAGCACGTATGTCCTACTTTTGGGTGTATTTAGAATATAAATAATAAATAAATATTTTTCTTATCAAACTTTATTGCACAGAATTCAAAATTGGCTAGCTATTTTCATTTCTTGATATTTCCTACAAAAATGATGACGACGCATATGGAAGAGTAAAAGAATTTCACCAGTGCACACAAAAAGACGATTACATCCTTCCCCCCCCCCCCCCCCCCCCCCCAAAAAAAAAATTATGAAGATGCGAACCTTTAGTGGATTTGTTAGCTGCGAACAATAACTAACCAAGTATGGGTGCTAGCCGAGCTTGTAATAGAGGTTACTCTACTACCTGCAGCCAAGTGCCTCCGCCGGAACACCTTGATGAACCGGAAGAGGTGCTGCTGAACACGTGAGCATGCTGATGCAGATGCTATTACCTAACAGGGAACATATCTGATGCAGGCTGAATATGAAATAGAGTATCTATCTTCGGTAAGGAAACAAAACAACCTGTATTGAAGTGAGTGCTCAGTATCTTGACTTTCTTCTGGAGGTTGTGTGATGTCCGAAGTAACCTCACTAGTTTTCCTGCGGAAAATCATATTTTTGAGTTTTTATCTTAATATTTGCAGCAAATTTGCTAAATTTCTAAGCAAAGCATGGAAGTAGAAGCTGGTAGAGAAACTTGAATTTTGTCTTGAGAGTACCGGTCTAATTAATCAATGATGGTACCTAGTCTTAATGCATATGTGTGTGCGGTTCCTACTGTGTTGTGCTGTGTATGTAAGAAACTTAACAGTGCATCATCACTGAGTGAACGTCCAGTGCGCCGCCTGTAAAACCACTGCACTATTGTGCGTTGAGTGACTTACTCCCTTGTGCTGTGCTTAGTCAGGTACGTCCTACTTGTGCGAGCTTCAATGTAAGCATTGAGTGCTCCCCCTAGACCTGAAACTGTTCCCTGTTTTCTTCCTTTTTCTTGCCCAAGCAAGCCTACCACAAAAGTTACCGGTCTTACCTTATTGTTCTATTTCCGTAATAACAGAAATACCTTAAAGAATCTTTTGAGCTCCAGAATGGCTGAATACGTTTGCTAGTCATTTAGTTAAAGGTAATTTATCATTCCTAGATCTTAAATCTATTCCTTTTCAGCCTGATATGCACCAACATGCCCAGGCTAGTGTGACCGAGTCATGACATAATAATCTGATATGTCTTTAACTATGTGGAATGCAGCCGACCATCCAACCTTCATTTACCTCCTGCTGGATCCTTGACTGTAAGAAGGAACAACGGTACTGCCACTACAATGCAGCGACGTGCTGGGATCAGGCATCACAGAAGGTGTGCATTCTTGTACTCGTTGCAAAACTCCGCATTAGGGAGGGAGTATTGAGTACGCTAAAAATAATGTTGTAATATAAAACCTATGGTGACACTATTCTTTGCATACACAAAACGCTTGCGTATGCTATACTAAATCTCTCTAGTTCATCGCAGACAATACTTTTACAGGGGCGGCAGTTGGGTTGCTCTAGGGCAAAAGATTTGTCTTGAAGCATTATACGCCTAAATTTTGGGGAAAAAAAGGCCTTGGAGCTCTTACTTTCAACATTCCCTGGGTGACATGGTTCCCCCAAAAACCTTTCCCAGGTTTCAGTTACCTCAAGCCACAGGAGCAGCTAATTATATCACTTTTATTGAATTTCCACCGCTGAAGTGACTTGCATTTATTGTAAAACACTTTTGTGAGTGCAAACACGTTTTCTATTGCTTAGGCAGCCAGGTCTCCGTGGCAGTGCAACAAAGCGTACCGAGCTCGTAGCTGACTGCTATAATGAAAAATTACAGCAGCAGATGCAGTTCGACCAGCAACAACACGATCTTCAAATGAAGATTTTACAGCAACAATTCAAGAGGGAGGTCCAGCAGCAACAATTCCTGGAAGAGCAAAACAAGCTTCAGCTGAGTGTGCTTAGCGAACAGTTAAAATACTGGCAGCGAAAAAATCAGACAATGCTAGCACAGGACTAAAACAACCGTGATGGCTTGTGAGAGAAAAAAACATCTTTGTCACATAACTTCGTTCCAGGCCGTTTTTATTTTGGCAACAGGAACGTGTCTGTTTCGGTCTAAACCTTGGACAACACTACCTAGGTCATGCATAAGACGTGTTTTAATAGTGAAATAAAACTTTCAAATCATCTTCATTGTCTTTTTAAGCAGGATTATGTGACAAGGATGCTTTTGTTTACAGGCCACCAGAAATGTTTGATGTCCGTAGTGTTAACTTTGGTTGTACTCTATTTCTTCGACCGACATGTGCTTTTTTATTTTTTATTTTTACTTCAGTCGCTTGTCAGCGCTTCTGTATTATGTGGTAGTGTAGTCGATACTGGACGACATGCACCTAATACCCCAAGTTAGTAGTTGTACTGCACTAGTACATTGTTCACGCCAGGGTGTCGCCATGCTTCTAAGGCAGACCAACTTCTCTTCGTCTAAACATTTATTTTGCTTGTGTTTCACTGCGTTGGCCGTGCTCTTTTCAAGCGTTTCACCACTAGGTTTACATTTGTTTCATGTACCTGAAGAAAAATGGGTTTGTATTAACTGCGACCTGAATGCAGTTCCACTTGGAGGATCCTCGGGAGTTTCATCACTTTCGGAACTGGTGTCACTTGAATCGCTTGATTCGTAGTCCGTGTCAGAGTCTGAACTAAAATCATCCTCATCTAAAAGAAAAAAATGTAGGCCGCATTGAGACGAGTTTAAAGTATGGGTGTCTATTCCATTCATATTATGCAATCTTATTGCCGTTGTGGTCCTTGGCAATGTTGAAGAGCACACATGCCGCTACTATCACAGCCTTTGTTGTGTCTAAGGAGATTTCAAGTTTTCGGATAAGGCACCTGAACTTGTTTTTCAGTTGCCCGATCACTCTTTCAATGGCATTCCTTGTAGATTTGTGTCGTGTGTTGTACTCTTCTTCTGTACTATCCGGCCGTGCACCGAGGACTGGTGTCAAGAGATGCTGACTGCACGTATATCCGTTGTCTCCCAGTAGGAGGCCTGTCACTTTCTGTGTGTAAATAAGTATAAAATGCATAAACATTAAAATATGTTCACAAAAGAGATATGTTTATTTCAGAGTGAATGAATCCCAATATTTATTATTTTTTAAGGCTGGGCAGTAATGAGGCTACTATGTGCCACTTTAGAATGTTTGCGAACAATAATCGTAGCAAACACTAGCTTACCCCCTCTTGAAACTTCTCCCGAAGGGCACATTCCTCCCAGATCCTTGAATCGTGAGCACTACCACGCCACGGTGCCACTACGTTGGTTATCTTCTCCTTAGCATCACAAACCAGCTGGAAAGGAAAATGCAGTGTTGTACGTAACATACTCCTCTTAAGTTGCCCCACCCAAAATACTTTTTAGGGTGGGTTGATAGTTTTCAAATAATTTAAAAAGCCAATATTTGGTACACTAACCTATCAATACCTTTTGCAAGTATGTTGTACTCATTTGCTACATTGGTCGTAAGATACCCCCACATTTTTCATCGGAAGGCGGGAAAGTAAAAATATGACTAATTGCAGTGCTTTGCGACCACAGGCTTTTTTTTTTCTTTTTTTTTTTTAGACACTCTTGGGCCGAGATGCAGCACCTACCTCTGAGGTAGGTACTGCATCTCGGTAAACAAATGTGCCGCCTCAGTTTAAGCAGACACACGTCTCTTGGCAGGGCAGGACACCAAAGACATCTGCTGGCCGTTCAATTGTCGCTTTGTACGCCCCACAGCGTTAGACACAGCCTAGATTTTGAAGCAGGAATGCCTGTAAGCGAGCACCAGGGTACGTATACAAAGCCAGGGTGGAATGACGTATTCCTTATAGGCTCGTAGCCAGGAAGCACTGCCACAAAACACTGGTAAAAGCCTATAGTAAACTGATGTTCTATTTCCTAGGAATCTGGAAAGAAAGGTGAAGTGACAAGGCACCTTTCTCTCGAAAGCTCTAAAAAGTTTTCACTGGTTAGTGATTTAAATATGTTCTACTTGAATACTTTTTTGAGAGATGAGTATTAGGTAGTTGCTGTTTTGCCTCCCTACTGAAAAAAATTATATGAATTTTTTTCTGACATGTTTATTGGACACCTTTTTCATATCAGAACTTATTATTTCATATCAGTTTCCTATGCCGCATATCAGTTACACTAGGCTAGGTGGCGCTAGGTACCGCCCAATTCATGTGCTGCAAAAATATATTTATTTATTCACGCCACCATGTAGATACATTACGCATACCACTAGCATCAGTTGAACAAATACATTGAGTGCATACACATACACGGCACAACAAACATGAATACATCAGCACACCCAATAACTACATAGGAGCTCTGCGTTTCCGCCTTTTATACAGGTCGTTTTGTAAGTACGAAGTTTTTCGGTGACCACCTACGCAATAAATAATATTTTCAGCGTGTTGGATTTTTTCAGTAATGTCGTACCTCTGAGAGTATTTAGAACGGCTCAGGGGACGAATCTCTTAATAAAAAGTAAACGCTCATGCCGTAATTATTTGAAAGCCAGTAAATCAAGCCACTCCACTGCGGTTCCAAGCCACGTGTTTGCTTTCCCGCGCGGCACGTCGTATACTGAAAAAAATTATATGAATTTATTTCTTATATGTTTATTGGACACATTCATATCAGTTGGCATATGTTGCATATCAGTTCTTGTATGTCGCATATCAGTTTTTGGGTATTTCGTATCAGTTCTTATATCGCATATCAGTTTTTGGATATTTCATATCAGTTGGCATATGTTGCATATCAGTTCTTATATGTCGCATATCAGTTTTTGGGTATTTCATATCAGTTCTTATATCGCATATCAGTTTTTGGATATTTCATATCAGTTCTTATATAGATTCATATACTTTTTTTCAGTAGGGCTGGTACTCACTTATTTAACTTAAATACTCTTTTTGGATATCGTTTTGAATGTCCACAAAAACGTAATGAATTTGCTAGCGTACTAGGAAAGGTGGAAATAAATTTGTTAGCTAACTCACTTGAACGTTTAGGGCATGAAACTTCTTCCTGCAGATGTACAAAGCCTGCATTGGCCCTCCTGGATTCTTTATCTGTATGTGAGTGCCGTCGATAAGCCCAACAACAGAGGGAAACCCGTATCGTTCGAAGAAGAGCTGGATCGTGGAGCGCTGCTCCCTGCGGTTTTCAGGAAAGTGCACAAACTGGGCGCGTCTTCGCGCGAGAGCCCGAGAGACCCGACCTACGATCCGCGACTGGGTGGGCTGGCTGAAGCCGTGGATGTCTCCAGCGTCGTCTTGATAGCTGCCTTTCGCAAAAAAGCGGAGGGCGCTGAGAACTTGAAGCTCCGGCGAGATTGCGTTGTTCACCGAAGTTTCGTTGAGGTTTGACCAAAGCAGGTTCGCAACAAACATCACAGTCTCCTTCCTCAGCCTGTACAGCCTTTTGAAATTGTCGTCGCTCCATATAATGAATGGGTTCTGCCGGTCGCGTACCGTACGGGGCATCACGCGAAGCGCTTGCACTTGGGAAAGCTCTTTGAGCTCGAAAAGATCTCGCAGGTCGGCCATATTTGCCCCTAAACGCCTACTAGTCGCCCGCTAAACTAGCCCTACCCCATGACTAAGATTTGTTAGTCGACTTCTTAGTCGCGCGGGGCGACTAGGCCCTAAACAAGACCGGTGAATACCAAGCGCTCACTTAGCGGCGACTATCGCTCGCCACGTGATCATTTTAGTCGATGACGTCGCTAGTCAGTGGTTAAACAGGCGCTGCTCGCGCCTGGTGAATACGGGTGTATGAATCTTTCTTTGTGAAGGTTGAATTCGTTGTTCAGTTTGAAGGTGGGGGAAGAAGAGAGGGAATGAAGGTTAATTTTTGTGCATCTAGCCAATGTTTGGGATACAAGGGTGCCTTGGATGTCTGGTAACCTGTTATTTTGGTGTAACTATAGGTCTCTTTGTAGAACTTCAGCGATAGCTGTAGTCTTCCTTAGATTTCTGGGTGTATGACAATTCACGGAAGCAAAGAAAGAAGCCGAGTTTGAAAAGTTTCTTTTTCTGTTTTTTCCTTCAACTAAATATTTTGATTTCTGTACCGCAGTCTCGGGCACTGAAAAAAGAATCAATGCACTAGCTCTCCTGCACCCGACTCTTACCAAGCGAGGACTTTACAAAATAAACCCTACGTAACAAAAAAAGTGAACGAGATCCTGCTCTTCGTAAATATATTGTTTTTATAGTTTTTTTTTTAATTCCCTTCTAAGAAATAATAAGAAAATACCTCAATGGACAAAGAAAAAGGAACGCAGTTCCTTCTTCCGTTCCAGTAAAAATGTAACGAGTCCCCGTTCCAGTTCTACCCATGCAAAATGGCACGGCGGCGTTCCTCCTAAAAGGAACGCGTTCCAGGAACGCCGTTCCTTGGGACGCCGTTCCGTACAACGCTGGGAATATCATACACTACTCCAACCTGGCAATCAACGGTTGCTTCCCCTGTGCCGTTTTTTACAACCTGCTAACGGCGTAAGCCTGTTCAACTTAAAGTAGGAAAAGAGCACCCCAACTCCGAAGCTCGCGGCCACCGCCAACAGGTTGTGCGAAAAATTATGAAAAACATGGAAGGCTCATGACCCTGTCCAGTTTCTCACTTTCTTTCCCCACCACTCCTCCGAATTTCTCCAAGCACTTCCCCGTGACCCCCTCCACAATGTTACATTATACCCCCTCTTTCTTTACGTGTACCAATTGCCTCCTAATAGCTTGCCGGCAAGGCTTCTTTTTAGCGTTGTCTAGCAAAGACAGCACAACACTTCGTTTGATAAATTTCGGATAGCAACTTTTGTATGGATGCCAACAAGTGTTTTTCCACGAGCGTACCATCGCTCCCGCACAACCCGTTTAGCGTGTTCAACCTCAGATTAAAATACTGCACCACACCTTCATCAGGCTCCTCACTGCTAAAGGTCCACTCCGGCGCCGCCTGTACTATGACCTCCTTGATCTTCTATAGTGACTC